GGCACATTCTAGGACACATCTGTCTTACCACCCAGCTTCATTTTCCTCATAATATTTGGCAATCCCTTTTCAGAGTCTGCTTGTTTTATTTTGCATATTTATTCTCCGCCCCCCCCCCCCCCCAGTACTCCTCATCCTCATGTCTAGGCCCCAAGGAAGTAAGCTGAGTGAGAATAGGGGCCTTGTCTGTGTTCACTGGTGTGTAGGATTGTGGTTGGTACACTTCAGGTACTTAAGAAATATTTCATAGAAAAATTGAATTAAACGATAATGGAAATTTTCCATGAACTTTTTGAAGCCCTTTCGTAGACACGTGGTGTTGTTAAGCGCCTTTGAGTCGGTTCCAACTCATAGCGACACTATATAGAGTTTCCGAGCGGCGGCTGGTGAGCTTGAATCTTGTGGTTGAAACTGACCATGTGGTACAGTACTTTATTCTAATAATGTGCATCTGTGCATTGCTAAATAGTTATATAAATTTACCTATAGAGGTTTAGGACTCCTGGTGTGGTGCTTTGGGTTAATGCACTGGACTGCAAGGTCAGTTTGAATCACATGGACAGTGGTTCAAGCTCACCAACCGCTCCTCGGAAACCCTATACAGGATTGCTGTGGGTTGGAACCAACTCAATAGCACTTAACAATAATAGAAGCTAAGGCAGCCAGATGGGTATGTTCTCTCCGTCCTTACTCTCGACTATCCCAAAAAGTTGTGGTGTTGTTTGGAGATGGTAAGGCTAGAATTCAGAATGGTTAGTTTATCTGTCTGAAAATAACCTAGGAGTGCCAGGGGGTCTCACTTTGTGTGGCAGGTCGTATTAAAGGACAGGGATGCTTGTTGTGGTAGGAAGCATCCACATTTAGGGCTGAGGACTGCAAAGGTTGGAATCCACTCTGTCTGTGCCATTTATATGCATGGTGTAAATGACTGGCAGGAGGCGAAATCTAGCCCTTAGAATTCAGCTCATAAATATTGTTAAGGTTTCATATTGCTTTTGTTATTTGGCTACAAATATGGACACAATCCCTATTAGCTTTAGCATACCTACTAGTACAGCTTTAGCTATCCAGCTTGCAAAATATAAGACAAGGCCAGAGCTTAAATTAAAATCCTCAGCTTCTTATCTCCTACCCACAGGAAAGCAAATCTATGTTGAAAACCGTAAAATTAAGAGGAGAGCAAGTATACATAATTTAGCAAAAATTCATGGTACTAGATTCTGAGCTATATGACTGGAGGGATAGGTCAGACAGTAAGAAGATGCTGCCTGCTAATGCAAGTTCCTTAAGGTAGTGCTCTGGAAACAAAATAAGCTTGCAAAATTCATATTTCTAGAAGATTTCTTCTCTGTTATGTTTATAACTACAGTAAGAAATTATCGTGTGTAGACTGTTTGGCAATTATACTTCTTATGAGACTTGTGAAATGAAATGCAGACCAGGTACTCTGTAGTTGAAATATATTCATTTTAGCCTTTTGGTCTTCAGCTTTTTGTTTCCATTTTTAAAAGGGTTTATAATAAAAATGTCCGCCGATCCTCTGCACTTAACAACAACAATCCTCACCCTTCCCTCCACTAGCATTCTAAATTCCTTGTGTATAAGAAGCTCATTATATATATATATATATATATATATATATATATATATATATATATAGATATATAGATATATCATTATATATATATATATATATATATATATATATATATAGGCTACGAATCGGGCTGCGAACCTTAAGGTCAGCGGTTCGAAACTACCAGCTGTCTCTGCGGGAGAAAGATGAGGCTTTCTACTCCCGTAAAGATTTACACCCTCGGAAACCCTGTACAGGGTTGCTATGGGTCGGAACCGACTCAACGGCACTTAACAACAACACAACAACATATATATATATATATATATTTGGTAACTTGCATCATTAATACATGACGAGGGTAAAGACATTTTTTAGCCATTTGTGCATCTATGTGCATAGATATCTATTGCTAAGGTGTATAGAGGAAAATCTTGTGGCTTTGAAATGGCACTCTAGTTAATAAATGCCAAGAGCTATATAAGCTACTATGCAAGTTTGCCGTTGTTGTTGTTGTTGTTAATGTGCCGTGGAGTCGGTTCCGACTCATAGTGACCCTGCATAGGGTTTCCGAGGCTGTAAATCTTCACAGGAGCAGAAAGTCTCTTCTTTCTCCCACGGAACAGCTGGTAGTTTCGAACTGCTGACTGTGAGATTGGCAGCCCGATTCATAACCACTACGCTACCAGAGCTCCTAATGGAAAAGTTTGCCATTGTTGTTGTTAAGTGCCACTGAGTCGGTTCTGACCCATAGCATCCCTGTATAGGGTTTCCAAGGAGCAGCTGGTGAGCTTGAACCACCAACCTTGTAGCTCTAACAGCTTTGCAGTCTGTCGCATTAACCCACAGCACCACACTAGGAGCGGATAATTATAAAACGGGAAAAGCTGGTATGAAAATTGTATCACTGCCTTAAAAAAAAATGTGATTCTTCTCCCTTGTCTTTTTCTTCCCCGGTACATTTCTTTTGGGTATAGGTTGTAATGATAGATTGTAAAGATCATTGTTGTTGTTAAGTGTCGTGGAATCAGTTCTGACTCATAGCGACCCTGTATAGGGTTTCAGAGGAGCAGCTGGTGAACTTGAACCTCTGACTTGGCGGTTCAAACTGACCTTGTGGTCCAGTGTATTATCCCACAGCACCATATCAGTAACCAGTGACTGCACAGAGAATGAAATCTTCCTAGTAGAGTTCCTAATTTTCTGAGGGTTATCCTAACCCATTGAAAGCCACATACTTTTTGTACCTGATTTGTAAAAACTAGTAAATGGAAAGCAAGTGTGTGTCATAATGAAACCACCATATAGTGTTGTTGTTAAGTGCCCTCCAGTTGATCCTGACTCATAGTGAGTCTGTAGAGAGTGTCTGAGGAGCAGCTGGTCGGTTTGAACTGCTGACCCTGTGGTTTGCAGTCCAGTGCGTATCCTACACCACCACATGAGGAGTGCACCGTATACATGTCTTAATGAGGCCTTTGTAACCATGTCTGATACGTCCTATATTTTAAGCAGTTTACATTGTGCATTTTTTGAGGCATTTCCTTAGTTGTTTCTTTTTTTTTTTTTTCTTGCTCCTGGAGGAAAGGATTTAACACATATTTTACAGTACAATATAGTCAAATCTAACTAATTCAAACTAATTGTGGTTAAAATATGTCTGAAATAGTGAATTAGAGGATATTCAAAATTTAGTTTATTCTATTCCGCTTAATTCACAAGTTGCTCATTACTACCATATAGCGATTTTTAAAATAGAGATCTTCTGAGACTGCTTTAATTAATACATAAGTGTAAAATTAGAAACATCTTTTGCATATATAAAGTTGTGTGGGTTTCCTTTCTTTTTAAAGTTTTTGTGTGTCTATGTGCTGAGTCTCTTGGAAAAATAATCCACTTAATTAGGTTAAACCTCCCTGAAACTTATTTACATTATTGATTTACTTAGCAAGCACTTCTTGAAAAAATAAACAACTTTACTCAATCAGAATGATCACAGATTCGAAATTAATGAAGTCCAAATAAAATAGCCTGAACCTTTACTGTTACATGGTTTTAAACTTCCAAATTAAATAATGATTTTTTTAAAAGCAAGTGTAGACATAGAAAGCATATTAAAATACAAACATGTTAACAATTTTAGAAGTTCTTACTAGCTATATATTTCATGTGATTCAGTTAAACTCAAGATTAGAAATCCCCTTTCATCAATTAAGACATCTAGAAGTAAGGGTACTCTGGTGGTGTGGGTTAAGGGTTGGGTTGCTAACCAGAAGGTCAGTGGTTCAAACCACCAGCTGCTGCTCAGGAGGAAGATGAGGCTGTCTCCTTTCATAAAGATTCAAGTCTCAGGAATTCTAGGGAGCAGTTCTTATCTGTCCTGTAGGGTCTAAAAGCTGGAATCAACTTGATGACAATGAGTTTGGTTTGGGTTGATTTAGAAGTAAAGAATCAGAAGCTGAAATGAGTATTGTCTTCAGTGTAACAGTGGGTTGTTGCTGTGTTAAGTACCGTCGAATCAGTTCCAACCCATAGCAACCCTGTATAGGGTTTCTGAGGAGTGGCTGGGGGGTTTGAGCTGCCGACCTTGTGGTTCAAACTGACCCTACTGAGCAGCACATTATCCTGCAGCACCACTCCAGCACAATGGGTAGTTGATGTCTAATTGACAAAGCTAACTGATGAAATATGAAAAAAAATGGTGCAAAAACTTTGTTAAATATGTGCAACAATAGAATTACAGATTTTTTTTTTAACCTAAGGGGGAATATCGATGTAGCAAATTTATGTTTGTTTGGATTATTTATAAATTCATTTATTTGATCACAAAACAGTTTTTAGTGCCAGACATTCTTAAGGAATTTGTTGTTGTTGTTAAGTGCTGTTGAGTCAGTTCCGACCCATAGCGACCCTGTACAGGGTTTCTGAGGCTGTAAATCTTTACGGGAGCAGAAAGCCTCATCTTTCTCCTGTGGAGCCGCTGGTAGTTTCGAACTGCTGACCTTAAGGTTTGCAGCCCGATTCATAACCACTACGCTACCAGAGTTTAAGGAATTAAACATGTATAAAGCATTGTAAAGTTTTACTTGACTAACTGTTTGTTAAAGTCAGCCTGAGGAGACAATGCAGAGGGGAGCACAAACATAAGCAGACACATATTCTGTCATACGGAGTCATAGTGGCCTACGTCCCTTCCCAAAGGGGCCTAGGTTAAATCAGTGGACAGTCATGTATTTAAGGAATGGTTAGCATGGGAAATTCTGTAGATGTGGATGTGCACAGTGGATGGCTGCAGTTGTCCAGGGTCTGGAGCTGATTGCTGGGTTAAGCTGACAGCCGGTCCCTGCTGTTGTGTAGAGTTCTCTTTGGGAATGGACACAGGAGCTGGGCATCCTCATTAATTGTTGACTTTGTTGTTGCTTTGCAGTCAAATAAAGTGCCCGTGGTGCAGCCATCCCATGCCGTCCATCCTCTCACCCCCCTCATCACTTACAGCGACGAGCACTTTTCTCCAGGATCACACCCGTCACACATCCCATCAGATGTCAACTCCAAACAAGGTGAGAGCACCTGCCTTCCAAGACCCGTCCTCCCAGTCCATCCGTCAGTCCCCCTGTGGTGCCCACGTGACCTGTAGCCTTGCTCCACATCACTGAGTCAACCAAGATACGTTTATGGTAGACAAGAGCAATGCACTTGATAGCAGTTCTCTATGAACTTACAATACTCTGTTGGTGCCTCTTTTATTTTTTAGAATGGAAAGATAGAAGAGCCTAGGAGGGTCATGTTCAATCAGAATGACAGCCCTAAAAGTATACAACCTGTAATATAAACCAGTATGTTTTACAAATGCCCAAAAAATGCAGCCCTCAGTGCCCCCTTCAGTAGCTATTTAGTTCAACACATACTAAGTGTTGATAGAAATGTAAAAGATGTCAGACAAAGGACAGATTAGAGGATTTCCCTTCAAATGTTCTCTTTTTCAGCCTTTTGTGATTTCTTCATGTCATTCAGTTATACCTCCATTGTATTTTTTTGTTTTTAAATCTACCATTTAGATGCTATAATTGAAGCCCAAAGCCATCGGTTTAAAAGTCACAGCACCATGAACCCTGTCTTGCACCTTTACATTACTACCAACTTCTGCTTCAACTTCGTTTATGGAAAAACACACAGCATAAAACCAAACAAAACCCATTGCTGTGAAGTCAAGTCTGATTCATAGGAATATACTGTAGAACTAGTGCCCTGTAGTGTTTCTAGAAGGAAACTGCCACCAACATTCTGGAAAATTTAAAAAAATTGTACGTAATGTGTGTGGGTGTGGTTGTAGGACACAGTGCTCTGTTTCTCCCACCCTTCTGGTCTAATCAGCTTAGGGCAGACTCTGAGGATGAATTTTCTACAGGATTGCCTGTGCTGTTTCTATGTGCATACGAGTCGGTTCTGACTCATAGCAACCCTATATATGGTTTCCAAAGCTATAAATCTTTACAGGAGCAGAAAGCCTCATCTTTCTCCTATGGAACAGCTGGTAGTTTTGAACTGCTGACCTTTTAAGTTAGCAGAGCAATTCGTAACTACAATACCAGAGCTCCTTCTCCAGTGTCTTGAAGATTCTATAAAACCAAATTAAAACAGAGAATATGAAAATTTTTTAAATTGCCACTTCCTTCATTTCATCCTATTCTCCTGGGTGGTGCAGTCAGTTAACATACACGCCCACTGATCAAAATGTTGGAGGTTCACCTTCACCCAGAGGCACCTCGAAAGAAAGGCCTGGGTGTTGACTTCTGAAAAACGAGCCATTGAAAACTCTGTGAAGCACAGTTTACTCTGACACACATGGGGCTATGAGTCAGAATGGACTTGACAGCAACTGGTTTAGTTTTATTTTTGTTGTTATCTTTGACTTAAAATGGACAACACTTAGTTGTTGTTAGGTGCCATCGAGTCAGTACCGACTCATGCGACCGTATGCACAGCAGAATGAAACACTGCCCGATCCTGGGCCAACCTCATAAGTGTTGCCACGCTTGAGCCCATTGATGCTGCCACTTTGCCAATTCATCTCGAAGGGAGTCTTCCTCTTTTTCTCTGACCCTCCACCTTACCAAACATGATATCCTTTTCCAGCGACTGGTCCCTCCTGACAATATGTCTGAAGTATGGGAGGCGAAGTTTGGCTATCCTGGCTTCCAAGGAGCACTCTGGCTGCACTTTTTTCAACACAAATCTGTTGGTTCTTTTGGTAGCCTATGGCACTTTCCATGTTCTTCTCCAACACTTAGTAAGTGTGTGAAGAAGAGTGGACGAGGTTAGGTGTGCTTTCCATTACTAATAATACATCTAAGTGATTCTAGTTCCCTCCACTGTTCAGATGGAAAGCTTATTTGAGGAATTACTTGCTACTGGGCCTTGACTAGATTAGAGTCCACATATCTTTTTGCAACCAAACAAAAAACCAAACCAGTTACTGTTGAATCGATTCTGAGAGAAGATGAGAATCACCTATACAAAGGCTTCCAGACTCATCCTGGCTTTATCAAGGGCCTCCAAAGAATTAAAACACACACACACACACACATACACACACACAAACATTAAAAAGACAAGACTATAGATATCTCATGAGAAAGGACACAAGGATAGAGATCTTAGGAAGAAGACCGAGTTTGAGAGGGAAGATCAAGAATCAAGCTTTGGTCAAAGTGAGTTAGGGTGTCTTTGAGATACCTGAGGGGAGAGACAGGATTTTAAAAAGCAATTTAATATGTGGGTCACTATCTCGGGCCAGAGTCTGAGCTAGAGACACTCATCTGGGTAACATAAAGAGATAGATGACGATTGAACATAGATATGAAAGTCTCAACCTATTATCAAAAAGAATTGAGTGTACTTTACTTTAACAACAACAACAAAACTATTAAACTGATAGTTAAATAGTGCTCACTATATCGGTCCTAGGCCTTGTTCTGAGTACTTTTAAACATTAACTTACTTAAGAGAATTAAACATTATGGCTCTGTGACTTTTGGCGTTTTGTTTTCCTGAAGATTTCTAGAACCATTCATTTTATGAAGAAACAAATTTAAAACTTGCTACCAATTACACTTACATTTTCTCTTAACTGCTACCTTCTCTTGTTTTGCCTTTCTAGCTGTAATTTATATTACTGCTTCTCAAACTTTTTTTAAAAAAAACAAATTTTCCATAACTACCAAGGAAGACCCCCAACAAGATAGATTGGTTCAGTGACAGCAGCAATGACCTCAAACTTAACAACAGTTGTGAGGAGAGTGCAGGACCCTGGGCAGTGATTCCATCTGTTGTAGGGTCACTATGAGTTGGAACTGACTCAAAGCACCTATCAACAACAGCTATTAGACAGAAAAGGAACTCATGACCATGAGATGAAGTTGTCTCATTGCAAGTTCTTAATTTTTTAAAAAAATATTAATGTGATTTTGCATGCCTCTCCATTTATCCCTGTTAGGGAGCTTGCTAGATTTCCTCTGTGTTTTTTTGTTTGTGTGTGTGTGTGTGTGTGTGTGTGTGTGTGTGTGTGTGTGTATATGTGGGCGTCTGTGTGTGTGAAAAACGGAAAGAGAGCTGACACTTAGTTTTCTTTCTTTCTTTTTTGTACTTATTATCAGGGTAGTACAAGGACATGCTCGGTGTAGGAGCCTGTTTATATTATCCATTTTATCTTTATAAATAACAGCAAACATTTATAGAGCCCTTACTGTGTACCAGGCACTGTTCTGAATTACATGTAATAGTGTATTTATTCTTTATAACAGTCCCTATTTGGATTTTATAAAATAATAACAATTAGATAACTTCTTTAAAGATACATGGTCAGTGAATGTCAACACTGCTGTATTAATCCATGTAGTCTAACAAGTGTGATTTTTACCGAAATGTATCTAACTTACTCTAAAAGTTTAAAAGCTATTAATACTATTGCAATGCTTCTGATAGCCTGTGGCATGTATTAGGGGTTCAGTACATGCTAGCTGAATAAAGGATATGAATCATGTCTTCAGCACCCCAGCAGCTGGTAGTGAGGCATACGTTTCTAAGATTGTACAACTGCAAGGAGATATTTAAAAAAACCAGATGCATTTTCTGCTCACTTAACTGCCTAAGTTACATCATATGCTTACTTTAAAATGGTTGATAATACTGACTCTGAATGAGGAGCCGTGGTGGCTCTATAGGATAGCACTGGACCATTAACCACAAGGTCAGCAGTTCAAACTCACCAGCTGTTCCACGGGAGAAAGATGAGGCTGTCTGCTCCAATAAAGGTTTATAGCCTTGAAAGCCCTGTAGAGGGTCCTGTGAGCCAGAATCAACTACATGGCAGTGGGTGAGCATAGGGAATGAGTCAAGTTTAATACATACTTTATTTCATTTGTTCGTTTGTTCAGTCATTCAAAATTAATTGTTAAGAGCTGCTTCTGCAGACAAGTATGGTTTCATCTATAGATTGGTAAAAGATGGGCTCTCTTTTCTAAGCTCATGCAGGAAATCAATTGTACAGCCTAACTATAAAAGAAAATGAAAAACATTTTAAGTACCACGTTAAAAGTTAAAAGGAGGAAGAGATTTCTCAAAGCCAAAACAGAGAAATTGCATGAGGGAAAGGGACCATTTGGGAGATGAGTAGAATTTATTAGCTACAGTCCAATTTGGTGCAATCAGTCAACGCACTTGACTGCCAACCAAAAGGCTGGAGGTTCGCGTCAGAGGTGCCTCAGCGACAAGGCCTGCTGATCGACTTCTGAAAAACCAGATACTGAAAATCTTGTACCTTGACAACACACAGGGTGGTAGACACGAGGAATCCACTCCACCGCAACTGGTTTATGGGGCCAGGCAGGTTGCAAGTGTGCTAAATACATGTTAATCCCTTTTCTCCTTCTACCAGAAACACCAAATCCATCCAGTTTGTATTTCTTTCCCTATTGAATCACCAGGCACTCTGTTCTAAACACATCTAGAATGTGGACTAGAGTACAGTGCACAGGTGTTAAGCTTGTCTGTTAAAAGAGCTGCATTCTGATTGCAAGCAAGTTACCTATCTCCCAGTGATAACATTCCTGTATGAAAGCATATGCATAGCTGGACAGGGTACCAGAACTGTCAACTTGACCTTCTCTAGACCTTAATTTCCTCAGTTATAAAAGAAATGATTAAAATAGATCATTCAGATAATCTCTGATTTCTGAGCCACCCCCATCTGTCAGTTTGTCAGTCTAGGCAGATGAAGAAGAGAGGCCTGGGAATTGACTTCCAAAATACGCCAATGGAAACCTCTAGGTCACAACAGAACTGTGTGATACAGAACTAGAAAATGAACCACATAGGTTGGAAGACACCCAGAATGCACAGGGGCTGCAATAGACTAGAGTTTATCAACAGTCTGTTGCTCACGGGTTGCCATGAGTTGGAACCGACTCGACAGCAAATATCGGTGACAGTGTGGTCTCTAACCCTGATTAGAGAGTGAATATAATGAAGCATTCAAATTCAAAAGTTTTTCTAAGTTCGGTGTTTGTGTTCAAACCTAAGACTGCAATCATCCAACTTCAAGTTATGCAGCTGCAGATCCAGAGATTCAGGAAGGTATAGGAGTCTCAAGATGAGACTGGAAAATTAGAAAAAATTGGAAAAGCTCCCAGGTGATTTGGGTACGTCAAGACTCTTTAGGGTCACCCCTTTAATTGGGGCCCCTCCAGATCCAAGAAAAAAAATCCTAGAGTATGAAATTTGGGGGCAGTGTGACCTGGTGGTGCTGTAGGGTAAGCAGTGGGCTACGTACTACACAGTTGGCAGTTCAAACTCACCAGCTGTTCCCGTAAAGATTTACAGTCTTGGAAATGGAGTCCTAGTGTGGCACTGTAAGATCAATTTGACCCGTAAAGTCGGCAGTTCAAACCCACCAGCGGCTCCTTGGAAACCCTAAACAGGGTCACTTAGAGTCAGAACTGACTCGACGGCACTTAGCAACAATGAAAACGAATCGGAATTGACTCAGTGGCAGTGACAGTGAGTGACCAAAAGAAGGAGCCCTGATGGTGCCGTGGTTAATGCTAACCAAAAGGATAGTGGTTCCAACCCACCAGTTGCTGTATGAGAGAAACATGCAGCAGTCCAAGATTGATCGTGATGGTGGTGGTATGCTGTAGAGTTGGTTCTGACTCATAGCAACCCTGGGTAGCGTTCTCGAGGCTGTCAGTCTTTAGGGGAGCAGAAAGCCTCTTCCTTTTCCTGCAGAATGGCTGGTAGGTAAAAACTGTTGACCTTGCAGTTAGCAGCCCAGTGAGTAACCCTTGGAAATCCTGTGGGGCACTTCTGCTGTGTCTTACAGGGGAGCTGTGAGTTGTAATCTACTTGGTAACATTGTGTTTGGTTTGAGTTGGTGACCAAAAGAATTAATATTTCTAGCTAAAAATTAAAAAAACAAAAGATTTTTGTTGTTTTTTTTTTTGAGACCATTTGCTTAAAAACAACAAAGCATTAGATGTTCTAATGTAAACCTGGGAGAGAGGATGAAAAATAATCAATAATTTTTCTCTTCACTACCTACTTTCTGTAAGCACTTTTTTATTTTTTTTAACTTCAAAGTCAAATTAGCATCGACTCTTGAGAAAACACTTACTTAAGGTTTACATATGTTGAAGATCTTTTATATCCTTTAAGATCTAAATGAAAATCACAGGCACTTTAAAGCATTAAATAAGGCAGAATATTCAAACGGTGTCTTTCAATGTGCTCACGTAATTTCACATACTGAGTAACATACCTTGGAAAGTATGTTTATTTATGGAAATGATCCAGTAAAGCTATCACCAATTATATAAAGAAACACTTGTGGCTTTTTTTTTTTTCTATTCAAAATCCTTTCCTACAATTACATTAAATGTAAGTTTTTGTATGTTATGTTGTTGAGCATTGGTCTGAGTTTCTTTTTCTGTACCTGAAGGTAAAGAATAAACCAAGGGGAGTCATTTGGGACTAGGATTAGGTATAATCTTGAGGTGGTTTTTCCAGTTTATAGGGCAGTGTGCTCCAAGGAGTGTGAGCTCAAGAAACAATTTGGTGGTACTCTCATTTTCTGTGGAATACAGCTAATCCAGAACAGCTTGACCTTGGTGCCCAGAGGACTCAACTTTATGAAGAGCTTAGTTGGAGCTGAAGTGGCAGACAGAGACCCAATGAATCATATCAAGTGTGACCATTTTGAGGCTGAAGATGATTCCTAATTAATCTTTGATCCTCTGAGGTATCACATTTCCCAAATCTGTGTGTCCATAAGGGAGCCAAAAGCCAAGGAAAATTTGCAAGTGGCAATTTACCTAATCCTTGAGCACCATGGCAGGCTGTCTACTTAGGCTGTCATTTTCCATACTACGCAAAACAATATCCCATTCACCACAAAAACAGTGCCTACCATTTTCTGAAACACAGTGAAATAATTGGGACAAAATAAATAAACTTTTGAAAGTCTACCTTGGTGACTGTTTTACGGGCAGCGTTATTTACTCTTCCAGAAATTCCTTCCTCAAGATGCACTACCCAAAGACTTGTTTTTCTCAGATGATGGAACCTAGAGAAAAGCTAACAATCTGATACCTGTTAAATGGATCTAATAACTAAATATTGCTTCATTCCAGACCTGAAGTATTAATGGCAGAAAGCATTTTATTGCCTTTCTAATGCTCTGTGTTCAGATATCCTGTGAATCTGAAAACTGTGTGTCTCCATCCTTTTTTTTTTTTTTTTTTTTTTAAATAGGCATGTCCAGACATCCTCCAGCTCCTGATATCCCCACCTTTTATCCCTTGTCTCCTAGTGGCGTTGGACAGATTACCCCACCTCTGGGCTGGTAAGAACCTTCCTGCAACCTTCAGTCGGGCAGTTGAACACATCTTGCACTTTGCATTCATGAAAAGTAACACTTGTGGAGTTGAAGAAATTTCACATCAGAAAGCAAGGGGCTCACTTTATTTCATTTCAATTAAAATTATGTTAAAAGATTGATAGACTTTGAAATTGGGTTAAAGTGGATGGTAGATAGATATAGATAGAAAATGCTTGTAGAGTTTGCTTTGAAGCCTATAGTTTTATGGAGTCAGTTTGTGACTCTGGGCGTTTGCTTTGCCTATACAAAGTTAGAGCTCAGTGTGGTGTTTCCTTTTTTAGGTTATTATTATTTTTTTAATGAACAGTTTGTAATTTGGGAGTATAAACTTAGACACATAGAATATCCACCTTTTCTTATAAGTAAGTGAGAAAAGTGACCAACAGCTAACTAGAGAGGAATTCAAAATATGAAAACACCTTTTGGGATTTAAAAGAACATCCAGTTTGAGTTTAGTGAAATGAAGAATGGATCTTTGGGTTTCTTTCCAAAACTCAGATTTATGTGGATTTACTTTTTTTTATTATTATTAATTAAATTGGGATCTATATCTAAAATAAATTCTTACTGCTGCCTTTATTATTATTTTTTAAATTTTAAAAGTAAAGAAAGGAAAATTGGGGGAAGTAATAGTAATTTTCTATAATATGTCCTACTTTTATCATTTTAGGATTAGCATACAGTTCCCCCACCACACACATACACACACACACACACACACACACCCCTATCCCCTCACCTCTGAACCCTTCCCTATTTTTCACTTCCTAGAAAACAGTGCTTCATTGTCAGCAAACGCTTTTCTCATTTCTCCACCTGGTTCTCTAGGATTACAACCCCATCCTTTCCCCAGTCACTTGATAACCTTAGGTTTTCTCATTTTTTCAGTAAGGAATGGTCATCTTGCCATGGAAATTCCAGCTTTCTTTCTTTCTCTCTCTAGTACCAAATCAGTCAGTAATTCTTTTTGAGTTACTTAAATTATACATATACTTTAAAAACCTAGATCAGTTATTCTACCTGAATTTAGCGACTCAGGGCATTAATTCTGTGGCTACAAGAAGGAGCATCAGTATCAAGGAAACATGTGAAATCTACGAACAGTTGAGAGCAGGGTGGAATTCACAGGGTGGAGGGTAACACACTCCAGTGAATTGGTCTGTTAGTTCTTGTCTCTAACATGGGTAGATGAGGAGGGAAAGAGTAGTGTTTTTAAAACACTTGTTTATTTTAACATAAGTATTCATTTCCTTCCCTCTTCCTGTCCCTGAAACTGTCTAAGAATCTGATGAAGAATTCATTCAGCTGTTTCTCTGAAAGAAATATTTCACCCTTCTCAGGGTTTCATCATATTCAGTATGAAGGGTACCCACTTTGTTCAAAGTATTGTGTTAGGCATTCGTGGGGTTGGGAGGAGGGAAGGAATAAATGGCAAATAATACCAAGACTGGTTTGCCTTTAAACTTGAGGAAGGCAATTTTCTTCAAGTCAGAGGATGCACTGATTGGGTTGAAGGTAACGAAAGGAAACAGTTACATAACTGAAGAAATTCTGTGCTCTATAATACTCCGACAGATTTTATTTTAATTCCTCATCTCCCCACATCAAACTCTCTAATTGCTGGTTGGTAACTGGTGTTTTGTCATTGATGGGTTCCTTTCTTCTGTGACCTCAGGCAAGGTCAGCCTGTATATCCCATCACGGGTGGATTCAGGCAACCCTACCCATCCTCACTGTCAGTCGACACTTCCATGTCCAGGTAGGTGGAGGTGGAAATGGGGCACTAGAGAACAAGTTGCTCTCCTCGCGCTTGCATCTTGTGTGCCTCTGCTTGCCTCTTGGTCGGCTAGGAGGGTGCATAACTCAACCTCGTGTCTGTCTGTGCAGTGTGCCTGGCTCCCACACTAGGGGTCATAGAGGTTCCAGGGTAGGAGTCCAACACTGTATCTCACGGGGCCAGCCACACCCACCTAGTGAGCTCGACTCACCCATGCTGGTGAAACATTTTGGAGGCATCACTGCCTCCAAAAGCATTCATTGCATTTGAATGTGGGATGTGAAATGTTCCCAAAGTGGACGTTCTAAGGAATTAAACTTGTTTGATTCAAAATATATTAGGGATGGGGCAAAGTGGGGGGAAAGGGAAGGCAGATAAATATGGGTTTGGGCTGAGTTCTAGTCTGCTTCCTTTGAGGAAAGGAGTTACCTGTGCAATGCGAAGGTAGTTGAAAAGGCCCAGAGCCTTCCTAGACCATTACTATCAGAGGAGAAAGAACAGTGCTCACAAGCTGTCAGGCCATAAGGGATGTGGGTCCTAGTGTGTGAATCAGGCCCTGTGTGGACACGGTAGTGCAAGCAAAGCTCTGTGAGGCCTGTCATGCCACACCCAAGGCTGCTATGTGTACTGCTTGGCTTCTGAAAAGGATGGCTTCTGTACCCTGTGCTTGATGTACACACGAGTGTGGTGTATCATCTGTGTGTTCAATGTGCCTTTTCCAAAGGAGCTAGCATTATTGTGCCAGGAGGCAAGCTGTGAGGTTATTAACTGGTTGTGAACCTTTACTTTTTACATAGGTATGAAACTTGCGGTGCCCATGGTGAATGACAGCATTTAACAAGCATATTATTTTTTGAATGAAGTGTCAGCCTAGCTGCTGAGAGGGATGGTGAAATGAATATTCTTCCCTCCAAGATCTACTTTTGCACTCATTGTTAATTTTATAAAAAGCCAACTGATGATAGGAGTGTCTGACGGGCAAATCACCAGCATCATGTCCTTTTGGAAACAGTACACTAAGCAGAGCATCATTATTTGACTGGGATTCTGTACTTTTACAGAAACCCTTAATTTTACAGCCTCCTTAATTGTTCAACATTTATTCCTAAAGTATTGCATATTCAAGCTGAATCTCTTCTCTCCTTCTCAGATGACGGAGTTAATTGTATAGGCTGTGATGAAAGACCAAGGATGTTATTCTTACAGGATTAAATGTTTACTCTAAAACAGTTTTGAAAAGCAAAAAAAAAAAATCTGAAGCGTATTCCAAAATTTACCCAAAGCGCTTGTTGGAAGTAGTGTCTTTATTTGTTTTATTTTCTTGCATGGCGGTTTCCCTCCTTTGTGTCTGCTGGTGGTGGGTAGCCTAAGATTATTTTTACCTTCTACAAAAGCCTACTTGTGAATAAGTAGCTTGTCTTTATTGTGTGTAGTTTTTACCGGGATCTAGAATCGTCAGTTCTGTTAGCGGTTTTGCATAAGGCTGGATCTCTCAGGCATTACTTCTTACTGAAAACGAAACGATCTTGTATGATATGAATGGAAGTACAACTAAAAGGAGGACTGAAAAACAATCCCCCTTTCCCTTACTTCATTGGTTTCATCCTAAAAGGAATGCAGTGTCTAAACACTCAGCTGCTTACCAAAAGGTCAGCAGTTTGAACCCACCAGGGCCTCTACAGGAGAAAAGACCTATCTGCTCCTGTGAAGATTGCAGCCTTGGGAAGCCACTGGGCAGTTCTTCTCTGTCCTTACGGTTTGCTGTGAGTTGGAATCCGCTCCACGTCACACAACCACAACAACGATATTAGTGAAGAAGCCAAGGATTTGAAAAAAAAATCTTCAGGAGATGATGTCCTTATGAGTGAAGGCAGAGAATTTTAAGTGTGGTATCTTTAGCTTCCCATTCAAAATTGTAATAAATTTTATAAAGATATGTTCTGTGATGGCTCTTACTGAAACTCATTTGAAAACTGCTTTGCAAGAAAAAGAATTTCTTTTTTGAAAAAAATTCTTTGGTCTTCTCAAGAAAAATGCCATTCTACTACTAGATTGGAGCCCTGTTGTGGCACTGTAGAATAAGCACTGGACTGCTAACTGCCACATTGGTGGTTCTGACCCACCAGATGCTATACAGAGTCACTATGTGTCACAACTGGCACTTTACAACAATAACAGGTTGTTGTTGTTAAGGGTCGTCGAGTTGGCTCCAACTCATAGCGACCCTGTGTAGGGTTTCTGAGGAGCTTGAACCACCAAACTTGTGGCTCAGACTGACCTTGCAGTCCAGTGCATTAACCCATAGCACCACACTAGGACTTCACAAACCCGAAAAAGATTACATAGTTACTAAATATAAATATTGTCCACCTGATAACAAAAAATTGAAAAATCATTGACTCACTATCATTTACAACTAATATCTCTACACATGTAAAGAAATACAGTTCCACCCTTTGCTGCAGTAGCCACTCGTACATATTGTTTTCTTCACTTTCCTTCCTTTAGGTTTTCCCATCATATGATTCCTGGTCCTCCTGGTCCCCACACAACTGGCATCCCTCATCCAGCTATTGTAACGCCTCAGGTCAAACAGGAGCATCCCCACAGTGACAGTGACCTAATGCACGTGTAAGTATGCACCTGACTTCATCTGTAGATGTTTCAAGGTAACAGAAGGTCTAAACATCCCTCTTTATTGTTGGGCCTTCTTGTTGGCTCATTTTTATTATGAAAAAATCGTGTTGCTGTGCCTTGAAAGCTCAGCCCCTGAGGACATTATGCAGCTTAATTCTCACTACCTGGATTTTGATTCTGAGATTCAAAGGAACACAGACTTTATGTGATCAGGGAACCTCATCAATACAGAGGAACCTTCAGAGGCTAGGCATTGAATAACCTCCCACTGTATAGCATTTACTACTAGGTTTTCATGTTCTGGTTGTTGGGGAGCACCAATTAGTGCCTGAGTATAGTTGTTTGGGGGAGTTTGATGAATGCATTTCCTTCAGGAAGTGCAGTAACCCTGGTTTTGAGGCTTCACAATACAAAATTCAAGTGAAAGGGGCAAAACCCAGAATTCCCTTTTGGGTAAGGATTGTCAGAGGGTGTGACAGCTAGACTGAATTCCTTGAAGAAATTAGTTGTTCAGCTGCTTCTTCATCTTGGGTTTGTGGCCTGAGACGAGAAAGTGAGGTTTGGTAGACAGCATACGATAGTCCCTGCCAATGTATGTTTGGGGAACAACTTCTAAAATTTTCTTAGCTTCTCAAAGAGGGGGCCCTGCCCTCCGCCCCAAAAGTTTAGAAGCTCTAAAAACCTCAAAGAGGTAAAATCACATATGCTATATGTTCAGCTTATTCTGAGGTGATCATGGAACTTGACCTCAAGGTCCTAGATCTTTACAATCCCAAATTCATTTCTATTTTGTGTTAGACACTTCAAGCTATAGGTAAACTTTCTCGAACCAAAGGGTCCTTATTCACAAAGATTCAGTGAGTAAATATGAATCCCTTTTGGTTGTTTGTATCCCAGTGTTTCATGAAATTAATCAAGCATTGCTCTTCAAAGTCGATTGTATTTTGGGGATTTATAGACTGCTCAAAGGGCCTTGATTTGACTGGTAATGTAAACATATGCTCCGTCTCTCTCCTCTTCCCGTCTCTTCCTTATTCCCTCTGCCCACTCCCCAACCACCACCACAACCACCTTTTAGGAAGCCTCAGCATGAACAGAGAAAGGAGCAGGAGCCAAAAAGACCTCACATTAAGAAACCTCTGAATGCTTTTATGTTATACATGAAAGAAATGAGAGCAAATGTCGTAGCTGAGTGTACTCTCAAGGAAAGTGCAGCTATCAACCAGATTCTAGGCAGAAGGGTAAGTAGTCGGAATGTATCTCATTGTTTATGGTAACCATGGGACTGCTTCATTAAAATCTGCCCAAATTTAATTATGTAATAGGCCATCATTGGAAATATTAGTGTAGCCACTAGGTGCTACAGGAAGTAACAAAGGGCACAAGATGTCACGATCATAAAGCAGGTCATACAATATAATGACTTGCAAACACAACTTAGCTTCCACTTTTCCATAGGAACCTTCCTGTAAATGATAACTGTTTTCATTATTCTCATTCTTTAAATAAATACATATTCATTGAGTGTCTTTTATGTACCAGGCAGTATGCTAGATATTAGGTAATTCTTGCTAAATAAAACAGGTACACAGCCCTTGACTTCCTAGAGCTTAAAGTTAAAAGGGACCGTCTACAGATATTAGATGAAGAATTGCCTTACAAGTATATAAGTAAAATGGTGATACGTGGAACCTCGGCAACCTAAGACAGAGCCATTGCCATGCTGCAATGAGTTTCGATGACGGGTAAGACTGAGGAATTCGCACTGGCCGCCTAAGACAGGCAGCGTCCCTTAAACAAACAATAAATAAGGGGGAATCTGATGCAGACCGTGCAGACCCGGTCAGGAGGTCAAGACCCTGTGGGCCCAAGCATTGTTGACCGTCCAAACCATAGGCTCTGAGGATCAGACTTTAGCCACCTAGTAGACATAGCAAACTGTCCCTCATCTGATTATTCAGTAATGCTTGTTAGTAATCTCATACATGAGCCCTGGATATCCACAGACAAATGTAAAAACCTTCCCTAAAAGCTGAGACTGTAAATTCCAAAAAGGCAAGTCTCCCCCCCCCCCAAAAAAAAAAGCTAAAGAGGATAGAGAGAAACACTGTAAACTGATGATATATGGAGGGGATAATAATCAATGTAATGAAACAAGCTATATGAATGGTTGAATGTGAAGCTGATGATGTGCACTGTAAACTTTCACTCAATCCAAAATAAAAACATTTAATTAAAAAAAAAAAAGTGATAAATGCCATGACTATAAAGAGCAAACTTCTATGAGAAAGAATGGCAAGAAGAGCATCATTTTAGATTGGGAGGTTAGAGACAACATCCCTGAGAAAATAGTATTCCTGCTGAGACTTGGGAGATGGGTAGGTATTGGCCAAGTGATCAGTGGACTCTTCCCAAATGGTGCAACATGTGTGCAAACTCTGAAGTGGGAAAGCTTGCAGCTCATTTAGGGAGCTGCAAAAAGACATCTGAGGGACCAGCAGTGTTCAGTGCTTCTGAATGGACCCTGGCAAACAGAGGTGGCCACTCCCTCCAAAACAGAAACTAAACAGATCTCTTCTATCCTGATGATTTGAATGAAAGAACTTACATGGACCAGAGAAGTCTTTATTCTAGAAAATATTGGTCTCTGATTCTTAAAACCATGCTGACATGTGTCAGGTTTCTGGATTTCTCCTTTTCTTTCTTGTTTCACCCATGTTGAGATACTTTCCTGAGCACCTACCATGTACCTGGCACTAGGCTACAATTAGCATAGATGCGCTTAAGACTTCTTTATCCAACCATCATCCAAAAGGGGTAGGCAGCCTTTCTAGGTACTTCTCTCAGAGTTGAATTGATTTTTGTTAGATGTCTAAATAGAGAGTTAGAAAGGATATAGAAATTGTTTTGATTCAAATTATCTTTTCACTGTAATTCTGTTAAAAAATTGAAAACGCTTCATCTGAATTTGTTGATGTTCTTCGTATACTCATATGTGCAGTACCGCTTGCCGCCGAGTTGATCCAAGTCATGGTGAACTGTGATCCATAGACTTTTCATGGCTGTGACTTTTTGGAGGGATGCTTCACTAGGTCTTTCTTTCAGGGGTCTCTGGGGGGAGGTGGACTCGAACCTCCAACCTTTTGATGAGATGTTTAAATGTTTGTGCCACACAGGGGCTGCATTATATGCAGATAGCTTCATAAATTGTGTCAGTGCGCACTGAGATCAGAAGGGTTTAGTAACATTTATGAATCCTAGAGACTCGTGTTCTAGCTGTTGTTGATGACTCATCACATTTGTTAGAAACCTAATGAATTTGAACATTCATAGCAGAAAATATTCAGGAGGTTGCCCGTTCGTGTAAACAGGAGGGAAGCAGACCTTCTTGCATTATCGATTCCTGTTGGGAAGCCTGAAAAATACAGCTGTTTCCAGCCTGCGAGACACCAGGGTTTCAGGGGTAGGGTGTGGTGGTAAGATTATAGCTTTTTTTTTGGTATCCTGTGTGCAATGCTCTATCTCCCTGTGGATTCTTAAATACTTAATAACAATAATTACAATGATTTCCCAAGCCAGATCATAGCAGATGAGTGATTCCCATCATCTTTGAAGCGCTCCGCCTCAAAAGCTTAAAGGCTGATGATCATTTTCCCTGACCCTTTAAAAGAAGAAGCGAGAGGAAAAGAAGGGTTGACATTTTTATTCCAGCCTGTGTACAGTTCTTAGCTTTCCCTTTTTAATTTTTCGGAATTAAAGGACCCTTGGCCCGCCAGCGGCACTTTTTTTCCTACTCAAGAGAGTAAGTGGTACGGAGGTATGCTTCCTATTTTTAAGGCACGTTTCCAACAGTTGCTACTTTCTCAGCTCCCTTAACAATTCCCAGACCAGAGCATGTATCCTAAAGGATGGTTCTCATTCAGGGTCTCTCTCTGTCTTTGATTTGGACACCTGTTTCTATTTATAGGTCGCTGAGATCTTTGATTAAGATCAGGTTTTCTCTCCTTTCATAACTTCCCTCTGGCAGGGCAGTTCTTACTGGTTCTTTAAAGTTTCTGACTTTCAAATCATGGAGTTTTACATTGGGGTAATTGGAGCCCTTAAAAGTGGATCTGAAGTCCATCCCGGAACATTTTCTTTTTTGACTTTTATTCGCTTTTACTGTCTGTCTCAAGTAGAAATGTTCATTGTAATGAGTTAGCCAACGTTTTCTTCTAAGTTCTATTGTAAATAAGGATAGCACAAATCTTCGTTTGCAGTAGGTTTTTTCTTTTCAAAACTTCTGGGCTCTTAGTAGAAGTCCACTTATTGGAGATTTGGTTTATGTTTCCTCTAAAATGAATATCCTCCCCCTACAATATGATGACAAAATCTTGACAAGGAAATGTGGTTTTGGAAAATTTCAACTCTTCATTTTTCAGTAAGCAAAAGAGGTTTTTTAAAAGGGGCTCTTTCATTTATGTTTCAGAAATTCCAATGAAGGCAGGCCATCTCTGTAGTCTGCTACACTTTATTTTCCAATTTTATCTACAGTTATTACCTACAGCCTTTTATCTGTGAGACAGTTTTGTGCTTAAAGCTATCTAAACTTGCTGTTAGACTTGCTGTTGTTAAGTGCTATCGAGTTGGTTCTGACTCATAGCAACGCTATATAAGTTTTCCAAGGAGCGGCTGGTGAGTTTGAACCACCGACCCTGCAGTTCAAACCGACCTTATGGTCCAGTGCTTATCCTACAGCACCACACCAGGGCTCCATTAATATTACAGCTGTGTGAAAATAAAGATGTAAATAAACAAAAAAATCCATTACTCTGCTAGATCTTCTGTCTTTGTCCCCACCAGAATAGGGGCCGAATTAGAAACAGTGACTTGTGTAGCCACCTGATTGACCCCAGAGACTAGTCCATCTGCTTTGCTGCTTAGTCCTGGCCCACAGTCAAAAGTTGCAGTAAACTTGAAACTTGACATAGGCCCTTCCCATATTATGGAAGAGTACAGAAGTTTTGATAAGTCCTATATGTGCTTACAAGGAGCTTACCAACTGTTCCACAGGAGAAAGATGAGGCTTTCTGCTCCCGTAAAGATTTACAGCCTCGGAAACCCTGTACAGGTTGCTATGAGTCGGAACTGACTCGACAGCACTTAACAACAACATATGTGTTTACACCACAACTCCTTCTTTCCCGCTCTTTAACTGGTGCTACTGTGAGTCTGTAAGCCATTGCCAGTATCGACATCAGTAGTGTTATTTCTGAGCACAGAGGCAAACCTTCTTGCGTCTTCAGATACACCTCCAATGTAGAATTCCTTTGAAAACACTGGGGGATGATCATTTTCATCCTAAATTTTAATGTACGCTTTGACTGTATTGCCTCTAATGTGATGCCTGGAACAAACAATTTACTTGTATTTGAAACTGCTTGTATTTTCTGAATATAATGATAAACATTTCAAACTCTTTATTAAATGTTTATAAATATATTCAGGAAATAAAATCAGTGTAAAGTGCAAATAAATAGTTAGTTCCCTGTTTTTCCTTTGTGCATGTTGCTCAGTTTTGTTAACTGGAGTCTTTTTATCAACCTAAATTTTCTGCTTACACTGAAAAATACCTGGTGGTTTGATAGAAAAGCTAGACCCAACCTTCACATGTATTTTGGGAGGTAAGTTTTATTTATGATTTCAGATTTTCTCAGCAAGGTATATAGCTAACATAGTTATTTTAAGTTATATTTGTTGTTGTTGTTAAGTGCCGTTGAATCGATTTACACCCGTAGCGACCATGTATAGGGTTTCCACAGAGCAGCTGGTGAGCTTGAACTGCTGACCTGCAGTTCAAGCGGCTTTGCAGTCTGGCGCATTAACCCACAGCGCCACACCAGGATTCTGGTTTTTAAATTATATAGCTATATTTTAATAATATGGAGTCCTGGTATGGTGCTGTACGATTGAACTGCTAACTGCAAGGTTAGTGGTTCAAACCCACCAGCTACTCTTTGGAAACCTTATACAGACAAGGTTGCTGTGAGTCGTAATTGACTTGACTGCACATAACAACAACATTTTTGTAATGAAAGGGTGCTATGTACCCCTGGAAACCCTATGGGTCAGTTCTACTTTGCCCTATAGGGTCACTGCGTCAGTATCTGATGGCAATGGGGGTATAAGCAAACCCAAACCAAACTCAATGCCATCGATTCAATTCTGACTCATAGCAACCCTGTATAAGGTTTCTAAAACTGTAAATCTTTATCTAAACAGATGGCCTTATCTTAATGCCATGCTACAACCAGCTCCTAACCCACAGAGCTACCAGGGTTCTTAACAGGGAAATTGTTGTTGTTAAGTGCCACCAAGTCGGTTCTGACCCGTAGTGACCCTGTATAGGGTTTCCAAGGCGTATCTGGTGGATTTGAACTGACCTTGCGATCCAGCACATGATCCTGCTTGGATAGGAGTCCTGATGTGGCACTGTGGGATAATACACTAGACCGCAAGGTTGGTTTGAACCACAAAGTCATTGATTCAAATTTAGCAGCTGCTCCTCGGAAACCCTATACAATGTTTCTTTGAGTTGGCAATGACCCGATGGCACTAACAACATTATTTGGATAAGCACTGGACTTCGAACTACAAGGTTGGAAGTTCAAGCCCACCAGCTGCTCTGCAGGAGAAAGATGAGGCTTTCTGTTCCCACAAAGATGTATAGCCTCGGGAACCCTATGTAAGTTCGGTCACTATAAATCGGAACCGACTCGACAGCAAATAACAAAACAGCAATTATTTCTCAACTGAATGAACAAACACATTTTTTAAAGGAAGGTTTTTATCCTTTCTTATTTTTAATTCCTGTTTCTTTTCTCTGTATTTGGAAAGACTTTGTCTCTTGCCAATCATGTTTCCTTAGCACTAGAACTAACTCTAAATAATGATCAATGTTTTCTCACAGAATGAGAGATGATATTTTCTTTTTAAAAAATTATTTATATTGTGAACTGAGTGAAGGTTTACGTACAAGATCACCAGTTTCACCTTCATCAAATCATGTGCTTTGTTATATCTCAATGATTACAATCCCCTCCATGCAACAACATTTGTCCCTCTTCCTCTCTGTGGTTACCCATGTGCAAATATCCTCTTTCAAACTCTTATATATTTGTGGGATATATAAACAGATATCCCACTCTTCCTCCCATAGCCATTCATCCTGTGTCTCTGTCCATGTGTCTACACCGAGCAGTGTTCCAAGGCTGTGTATGTATCACTATTACCTTTATCCCCTTTAGTTTACATATGTCTCTTTGTGTCTTCACCTCCCTTCTGCCAACCTCCCTCTTCTTGTATATTGCCTTCCTCATCCCCCATGCTAGTGTATGTCTACCCTGGTAACCATCAAAGAATGTTTCTTTTGGTATGAAAACCTTCTCTTTAGTTTTACAACAGTGCTCTCATACAATCCCTGTCCTATTGTGATTGACTAATTTCACTCAGCATAGTATCCTCCAGGTTCAGCCATGTTATGAAGTGTTGAACAGATTCATTGTTCTTCAATATTGCACAATATTCCATTGTGTATATGTAACAAAGTTTGTTTATCCATTTGTTTATCCATTCTTTCATTGATGGGTATTTAGGCTCTCTCCATCTTTTTCCTATTGGGAATAGTGCTGCAATGGACATTGGTGTGCATGTATCTACTCATGTCCTGGCTCTTACTTCTTGAGGATATATACCAAGTAGAGGGATTGCTGGATCATACAGTATTTCTATTTCCACCTTTCTGGAGAAGCCCCACACTGTTTTCCACAATGGTTGGACCATTTTACAGCCCCACCAACAATTTAGGATGGTCCCAGTCTCTCCACACCCATACCAGTATTTGTTGTTTTCTGGGTTTTTTGTGTGTTTTTTTTTTAACTTTGCTATCAATGCTGGTGTGAGATGACATCTCATTGTCTTTTGATTGGCATCTCTCTGAAGGAGAACTGGTAGCATAGTGGTTACAAGTCGGGCTGCTAATCTCAAGGTCAGCAGTTCAAAACTACCAGTGATTCCACAGGAAAAAGTTAAGGGATTCTGCTCCCATAAAGATTTACATCCTCAGAAATCCTGCACAGGGCCACTATGAGTCGGAACCGACTCCACAGCACAGAACCACCACCACCACCAATAGCTGATGATTGTGAACATTTTATTTGTAAGTGTGTTGCTGTCTGAAATGTCTACTTTAGTAAAGTTCATGTCCTGTGCCCATTTAAAAAATTTTTTTGTCTTTTTCTTATACAAGTTTTGTAGTTTTATATAAATTTTAGCTAGTACTTCCTCCCTTGTCTGATGTCTCATTGCAAAAAAAATTTTTCCCCAGTCTGGCTCTCTTTTTACTCTTTTGTTGTAATCTTTTCATACACATAATTGTCTAATTTTTAGGAGTTCCAAGTCATCTAGTTGGAGTCCTGGTGGGCACTGCAAAATAATGCACTGGACTGCAAGGTTGGTTTGAATCACAAGGTCAGCAGTTCAAACTCACCAGAAGCTTCTTAGAAACCCTATACAGGGTTGCTATGAGTCAAAAGTGACTTGGCGGCATTTAGCAACACAGCAAGTCATCTATTTTGTCTTCTGCTGTTGGTGTGTTTTCAGTATTGCTTGATAGTGTGTTTATGCCATGTATTAGAGCTCCTAAGCTTGCCCTTATTTTTCACTGATGATCTTTTTGGTTCTAGGTTTTACATTTAGATCTTTAATCCATGTTGAGTTTGTTTTGTATATGGTGTGAAATGTGTCTTTTTTTTCCTTGTCTTCTGCAAATCGATTTCCAGTTTTTCCAGCACCATTTGTTTATACGACTGTCTTCCCCATTTAATGTGTTTTGGCCCTTTGTCAAAGATCAGCTGATCTTCAAGGTTCACTCACATTTTCTTTTCCTTTTTTTAAAAAAAAAGGATAAAATGTGCTACACAGGTTGCCATGAAGAGGAGAGGGTCTCATAGCCATGGATGGAAGGAAATAGAAAGAAACGTTCCACACACTGAGCCAGGGCGAACAGGAACATGGAGGCTCCTGGCTGGAAGCACCCCCTGACCCTGCCGGGGGTGGGGCAGCAAAATGATCCCAGGGTCCTGCAGGGGCAGGCTGGCATTATAGGAGGAGGGGCCACCCAGTGCAGTAACTTCTCTCCACCCCCCACTGCTGACCTTCTCCCCACTTCACTCACCAGTTTGGGTGAAGGCTGGCAGACAAGGGTGTCAGTAGTGAGAGGAGAGTCTTTGTGTGGCCAATGGGAGAAGGGAGAAAGTGCAGGGAGCTCCCAGGATGGAACCGCCAAGCATGGGTGCCGGGCAGTTGCCACCTGGAGGGACACACTGAGTTGTCTACTGCTCTGGATGACACCCACCCAAGTGCTACCTCTGCACCCAGTGGAAGGTGGAGACTCAGTGTGATGGGGTTGGCTAGGACAGGGTAGTTCATCTCTGCTGCCTGAGTAATGGCTCCCCACAAAGCCTACACAGTCCGTCCCCCCAAATGGCTCTGCTAGCAGATCCTAGTGTAGGGAACGGATTTGAAAACTGTCTGCAGGGGGGGCTGGGGCCTGTAAACATGGCCTGGTTTGCACACGTTTACAAACCAGTGTGCAAAATGTATGCCTTTTAAAACCCCAAATGGAGACAGAAGCGCTTTTATGATGTGTGTGCCAGTTAAGTCAAGGAGCAGTGGAGAGTTTGAAGGATATCAGTGGCAACGTGATCCAAATTAGATTTTTTTAAAAAACTCAAATTGTATATGGTAAAATAAACTTAATTAATGCTCCTAGTTTTCCATAGAAGGAAGGTCAAAACCTTGGCTGTAAAATGTGCCTGTGTGATTAGACAATGGTTTCAGTGTTCCCCCCGTAGACAAAGTTTATGTCAGTATGAGAAGACGAAGAATCTGAGACAAACCAACTTCTGATGCCTTCCTCTGTAGACAGGGTCATATGATGCAAGTTCCGTATTTTGAAGGTTTCAGACTCTTCATATGACAGATTGAGAGAGTGCCCATGTGAGGAGAGGGTAAAAAAGGCATCTGGAGATGATCATATTTTGCATAAATAAATGGTAGTTAGACGCATATATCAGAATGTTCTACAGACTAAGAAAGGGGGGCTACGGTGGGTGTTGAGGTTCACCAGTGAAAGTTCTTTTTAATTTATACTGGAAAAGAGCAACGGTGGGTGACAGAGGTCACTTTACTTGGAATACTTTGATTTGACTTTGATGTGTTTCATGTGATACAGGAGAACAGGCTAGAGAACCCAAAGTTTGAATTTCACTGTGGCTACCAGATTCCAAGTGAAATTCTGTAGCCCTCGATCTTCTACCATTGAAAAAGAAGCCCATTTAAATGCTTAATATTTTCAGTTTTTCAGTGTTTGGAACATTAAATATATAATACTATTGCTACCTTGCTTACTTTTTTTTCTTCCCTCCTCCTCTTTTGTTTTAGTGGCATGCCCTCTCCCGGGAAGAGCAGGCTAAATATTATGAATTAGCACGGAAGGAAAGACAGCTACATATGCAACTTTACCCAGGCTGGTCTGCCAGAGACAATTATGTAAGTCCCTCTGTCTGTCATCTGCTCTCCACTTGCATTCCTTCTCTTTCCTTACTGATTTCTGGAAGGAGATGTCTTTGGACATATATGGGGTTGACAGAGTCTTGCTATGATTCTGTAGGATCAGCTCTGTACTGCTAACTACAAGGGTAGAGGTTCAAACCCACCAGCCGCTCCTCGGGAACCCTTTGCTATGAGTTGGACTCGGCTTGACAGCAGTTAACAATGTAATACTGGTATTATTATTTACTGTTTTTGAAGGTTAATGAACTTGACAATAAAATTTTCATGGATATATTGAATTATATAAAGTCTTTGATCGATCATTTTTTTTGTATGAATTGTGTAAGTTTTCTAAAAACAAAGCTTTTTTTAATTTGAAAACAACAACAATAACAACAACAACCTTGACATTGAACTACAGAGTCCTGCTGTGGTATTGTAGAATAAGCACTTGACTGCAATGTCAGTTTGAACCATAAGGTCGGTGGTTCGAATACACCAGCCACTCCCTGGAAACCTTAACCCGGGTCTCTGTGAATCAGAACTGACTTGACGGCACTTAATAACAACAACAACATCATTAAAATACTGGTGAAAAAGAGAAAAACACCTGTAATATCACCATACAGCAGCAACATTAGTAGGTTAATTTCCTTCCGATATTTTTTCTATACATATGTTTTTGTTGTATTTTTTACTTAAATATAAATATATCTGTACATACACATTTTGTCAGACTTATTCCTTTTATTACTTATAATAACCATTCTTCTATTTTATGGCTTCTTGTCGTTGGTGTTCTGTGCTGAAGGTGATGGTAGTGTGCCGTGGAGTCGGTTCCGACTCATAGTGACCCTGTACAGAGTTCATAGCAATCCTGTCTAGGATTTCTAAGGCTGTAGGAACTTTGCGAGAATATAAATCCTCATCTTTTCTCTTGTGGAGCTACTGACTGGTGGACTCGACCTGCCTACTTTGTGACTCGCAGTTCAGTGCTTATGCTCTAGAGCTAGCACACTCCCACTCCCTGTTTTATGGCATAGTGTTTGTAAGTATCCATTTTAATGGTGACACAATATTCCATTCATTGAATGCCATAAAGTGCGTAACTATTGTTCTTTCCTCTTAGATACTTCTATTACTTTCTTTTTTTTTTCTTAAACTGTAAATAATCTTGCAATGAATATATCTATGCATAACAATTTTGGCTTTGTTTTCTGTATTCAGAACTATTATTTCTTCAGGATAAGTTCATAGGAGTAGAACTGCTGAGTTCAATGACAAATATTTTAAGACGTTTGAGAAATATTGTTAAATTGCTTTCTAGAAGGATTGCATATTTTACAGTTCTTATAAGCAATATATTTCAAGTCAATACAGTGCTGTGGGATAAAGCACTGGACCACAAGGTCAGTTTGAGCCACAAGGTCAGTGGTTCAAACTCACTAGCTGCTCCCTGGAAATCCTATATAGAGTTGCTGTGAGTCAGAACTGACTCGATGGCACTTTACAACAATAACAGACATCAGAAGTATGTTAAAGAAAAAAAATGTATCACATTAATATACTCCAACATTTATTATGTATATTATTCAAATGGAATAGATACTACATTTTAAAAATTGTGCTTGCCTATTTTTTTTAGTATAAAGTTTGAGCACCTAACTAATACAGTGTTGACACAGCAAAGAATATTCCTGAAAAAAGTGCTTTGTGAATCTACATTGGAAATTTAATCATATTTTGTAGAGGAGAATAATTCTGACTACTTAAGCTTCAAAAACTTTTTAAAACTTGAAGACCCTTCTCACATTCCATATAGACTAGCATTAGAAACGCCAACTAGGAGCATCATAATTTAAGTGGAATTGTCCCACTAAGGAAAGGCCAAAGTGAAGCCATTATCAATATAGCTAATGTGAAGGCACTGCTGTTGGTCCTCCTGTGAGGCTTCAGTTCCCACGAGAGGTCATGAGAATATTATGTGTCTAAGATTGTACATCCCCCATAGCATAAGACACCCAAACCTTCTGAGCACACATCTCAATTTAATTATAAGAAATGGAATGAAAACAAAGTTCATGGAGAAATGGAATGAAATGGACTTTTTCCAGGAACTTTTTGAAACCCCCTCATAGAGTTCAGAAATTGAGAACAGAGAGTAGGATGTAGCAGATGTAACCAGATGTAGTGAAGTTGACAGCTTCATGCCCATAACACGTGTATTTCGTGTCTCTTGTGTACAAAGCAGTTATGCTGCTAGGTTTATAATCCTACAGTACATGCATAGCCTGTGATACCTAACATTTTGATAATCATATGTTACTGGCTTAAGTGTGTACTATAGTTTATTTTCTACCTAAAGAAGTTGACCTTATACCAGTCAGTGTATGCTTTGACTCAGAGGCAGCAACATCCTATCTCATGCAGTGCATGTCTTGTAAGTGTTGTAGTGTTATATATCTGTGGAATTTTCTTTAGCAAATCTCACTGTGAAGTGCACTGTGGCTCCCAGATGCAGTGCTAGTGATAGCAGCAACAAGAGGCAAAGGAGAAAATCCCAATCTGGAAGTGAAACAAAAGGTTTATAAGTAACACGAAGGTGGAAAACAGTGACTAATATTGCTCATGATTTTGGCATGTTCATACAATAGCCAAATCACAAAACTTTGTACTTTACAGATTATACTGTGGGTGCCAGTTGACACAAGACTGTACTAAGGCTCCAAGGTCAATCAATTGATAACATTTTGGCTAAAATTCTACTGTCTGAAAATACCAGTACAGGAGTAGAGTCTATGCAAAAGACAAATAAGGCGTTTAGCATCTGAATGCTCTCCGGATCCACAGTGAGATCACATTAAATAGATAGCTCAGTGATTTAATGGAGAAATACACTGTTCTATGATACCATACATTTGGCATGCATTGAATTTATTGTTTTTTTTTAACTGACTAATAGATGGAATTTCCATAAACCAACAGTGCACCTATTTTCTCGGGTGAGACGAGCCCAGTTATCAGAGCTGCTTAATGCATCCCAGTAATATTTATCAGATAGAGTTTTAATGTTATAAAATGCTTTTTGTTCGCTACTGCATATCCATTTTATGGAGCCCTGATGGCACTTAGGTGAAGCACTGGGCTGCTAATTGCTAGGTGGGCAGTTGAAACCCATTGTGTCGCCTCCGGGAGACGATGAGACTTGCCTGAACCTGCAAAGGTCTATTGTCCTGGACACTATAGAGGGGCTTTATGAGTTGGAATCGAAGCAATGACAGTGGGGTTTTGTTGGGGAGGCTGTAGGGGGGCAGTTACTGAGGAATTTTGATTTTTCTGTAAGTTGATATAGTGTTGTTGTTGTTGTTGTTAAGTGCCGTCAAGTTGGTTCTTACTCAACTGGGTTTCCCAGAAGCAGCTCGTGGATTTGAATTGCTGACCTTGGGGTCTGATGCTACAGCGCCACACCAGGAGTTCTTATTGTTGATATCAATATATCCAAGCAACTTAGGTGGTTTTTTTTTTTGTTTTTTTTTTTTTTCTAACATTAAGTATAAGTTCTCTTGAAACACTGGTTTATTCCTAGAATATAATATAGATTATGATGTGATACTGTAGGAGCATTGGACTGCTAACTGCAAGGTTGGTGATTCAAACCTACCAGCCCCTCCTTGGAAACCCTATAAAGGATCGCTATGAGTTAGAACTGACTCAGTACACTTAACAACATTTCACAAAGGCTCAGTACAGGTGTGATGCATCATGCCACAGACAGTTGCTTCGTGCATGCTGTGTTCAGGTATATGCCAGGTGACAGAGATAGGGCACTGAGAGATACAGCGCTTATAAGTCCCTCTGACAACCCGCCTGCCATGTGGTTGGAGGCTCAGGGACATACCTCCTTATAGCACCTGTGAGGCATTGCTTCTGATGTGAGCTCAGGGTTATGAGGGAATCTGGAAGAGCAAACCCAGTTTTGCCTGAGGGGAAGAAGAACAGTGCAGAGTAGAGAAGTTTCTTGAAAAGATGACACTTGAGACAGGTGCTGAAGGGTAAATAGGAGTACAGAAAAGCAGGTGAGGAAGAAGGCTCCAGACACATGAAACTCCTCATAGCACTTTCTGGAATAGGCAGGAATTTCATTTGAAGGGAAGATAGCAGATGCTGTCCTAATCATCATTCATATGAAGTGATTAAAGTTATTTTTCAGAGAATACTAGTTATGACCAAAATAATAATAATAATAATAGGCACACACATGAGGTTGAATTAAAAATTATCTGCACTCTTGCTGTAGAATTTAATCAACTTAATATTCACCTCATCCTCGAAGGACTGCTTTCAGGGGACCAAATGAGTGAAAGTCTGATGGAGCAAGATCAGGACTGTAGGGAGGATGCTTGATACCTCAAAATGAAGTTTTTGCATAGTGTCCACAGTGTAGGCCAGAGGTGTGTGGATGTGCATTGTTCTTAGCAGTTCTCTGTGCTTAATCCAAAGTTTAGACTTCAGCGCTTCAGTGAGCTTCTCACTGTAATGAGCACTGTTGGTTTTTTAACCTTTTTTCCTGATAAGTGTTCTAATACTGGTCCTTGTGAATCCCAGAAAACTTACTAGCATGAATTTTTCAGCTGATGGTTGACTTTTGAAGTTTTTCTTGATTGACGATTGAGGATGTTTCCATTCCATATTCTGCCATCTACTCTCAGACTGGTATGATGAATCCATATTTCCTCTCCAGTAACGGTTTTTCTTGAAGAAGCTTTTACCTTCCTTAGAGTGTTGGTCCAAATTCTGTTTGCAGATGTCCAGACACTTCTGTTTATGGTTTTCCATGAGTTGTTTCGGTTCCCATCTCACACAAACTTTTCAAAACCCATGTCTGTTATGGATGATTTCACAGGCAAAGCCATGGCTGATTTGCAAATGATTTGCCACATGATCCACTGTCACTCATCTGTTTGACAGAATCATTTCACAGATATGCTCAATGTTGTCATCAGCCGTGGATGGGCATTTTAATATAACCAGAGTGCAGATGATTTTTTACTCACCTTCGTGGGAGTGGGGGGAGAAGTGGACCGCCAGAAATGGCATCACATTTTACAGTGTGCTATTGGGAATATTTTTAAAATATATTTTAAACTACATGTATGTCAAGATTATTGTATCTGTTTCAGGAAGCAAGGTCCTCAGTTGCCAGAAATCAGCTTTCAAAATCATCTTTAGTTTCTTCAGGTTCTAGCTCATCTCCGATCCCTTATTTTTGGTTCTGTCTTGTCTCATACCATGCGGGCCATGAGTTCTCACTACACACCCTGGTACTTTTAATTTATTCAGCGGAATTCCCAGTAAGGAAAGAGTTCATTGGAACCCTCTCCAAAGCAAATTTTAAGTATGGTGAGTAACAGAAGAAAAGCCTCATTAAGGCAGGGAGTTCTGTGGCTACAGTGCTAGGGCAGATAACATGATCCCAGCAACGTCAGTATTCATGATCTGAAACAGGAAACTCTCCACAAAGGTCACAGAGGGATGCGAATTTATGTTGTTTCCGTCTCTCACTCAGACATTCTCTGTCTCTTTCTTTCTTCCCCTTTTTAAAAAGTATTTTACTTGTTTTTGGTGGCAGTATACATAACTAAACATACATCTGTTCACGACTTCTGTGTGAACAGTTCAATACATCGGTTACCTACTTCACATCTGTCTCTACCCATATTATTTCATCACCTTTACTTTTGGCTCTCTGCCCCTTAAAATACTCACCTGCGCTTTTGATGAACTGTTGTTAGCATATACTTGTAGATAATTCTTTACACGAGCCGTATGCTCATGGCAAACATTCTTTATTGATTGGGCTAAATTGTTGACACTAGTTTCAAGAGTTTCAGTTCAAGGTTTAAAGATTATCTACAGGACTTATATTTAGTGTTTCCCGCAGTCTCAGTGGATCCCAGTAAGTATGATCTCTTTACAAGCATTACATTCTGATCCACACTTCCCTCCTTTTGATCAGGAGCCATCTATTGGTCTGACTCTGCTTCCAGATAGTAAGGAGAGGGGAAGAAGATTAACCATTTTTCTCTCTTCGTTGACGCATGCCTTGCTTTCATACATATCACCTTCACTAGAGTCTTTGCAGAACAGTCTATGATGTGACAATGTGCCTGTCTCCTTCCAGGGTAAGAAAAAGAAGAGGAAGAGAGAGAAACTACAGGAATCTACATCAGGTAGGCACCACGTGACTTTACAGTTACTTCTTAGACTCACGACAAAAACCTTTTTAAAAGTAGCTTGGTTCTTTTTACATGCTGCTTTTTTCCCTCTAACTGTAATAGATGATGCTTTAACTCTGCTCTTCTTCCTGAAATTCACTAGACATCATTAAAAGATCTTTCTTTTAAATATGACTACGTGAAGGCACATCTAAAGACTCCTTTCCCAAACACTGTTCTCAGAAACCCTGCTTGCTAACTGTGGCTGATTATTTTCTACTTCTGTTGCCTGACCATGTTCTTTGCTTTCACATTTCTCCTTTCTTTCGACTGGCATAGCTCCTTAAAAATAACATTTTTATGACAATTATACAATATGCTACTTTGTTTCCCCTGAGAATCTTTTCTGTGGTTTTGATTTTTAAAAAAGAAAATATTTAAAACTTAATGATAGGGCTTATCTTTCTTGTAGATTAATTCAAACCATCAGTGAGACCCTATTAATCTCTTTTTTCTTTCATGGAAAATAAGACCACTACTTATACTGCACAAAAAATTTAAATGGCTGGTATAAGAACCATAAAAAGGACAGCAAAAACAAGTCCACATGATGTTGTAGCTACTACGTATTTGGAATGTACAAAAACCTCTTCAGTAAAAATTTGTTAAAGACACAATTTTCTTCAGGTACAGGTCCAAGAATGACAGCTGCCTACATCTGAAACATGGTAAGAACGACTCTCTGGCCCTACTGCTGACATTAGTTGTAACAAGAGGCACTTGCTTGTGAATCTTCTTGCTCACATCAGTTCCATCCAACATTGTCCTGTAATGAGGAAAACACCGTCGAAATCTAAGTAGTGCTTTTACAAATCGGATGGTTTTTATACCGGCTACATATTTGCAATATGGAGTTCTTTTATCTCTTCACTTCCCTTTTGGTCCCTTTATTCTTTCTCCACTCGCTTTTCCCTGTTTTTGTTTTTTCTCTCTCATCCATTCCTTACTAATATGTAGCAAATCTACTTTAAGAAAAAAATGATGAACGTAGTAAGCGGCGAACCTCGGGGTAGGCTTGAAGAGCACATTCTTGCCTACCCACTCAAAGATTGAGCTCTGAAGAGACCATGTCTTAATGGAGCGATGAGATGTAGAAAGTAATTCATTTGCTCCTAGTGAGAAAGGTAGAGGTGTTTGTGTAGATTTCTATTATAAATTATGGCGTGTCCATTTATTTGATGAGCTATATTTCTACAATCAAGCATTCCTCTTTACTGGTAACCTTTGCAATCTCACTCTAATACTTAAGACTAATACTTACTTTACTTCTTTTTATGGCTCTTCTTTTAGTTTTGACCACATGACAGCTGGTCCAGGAAACCTGGCTTCAGAAATTCAGACTTGGTCTTTGCTAAGCTCTGAATTCATAGTTGTGTCTACATCTTCCCCTAATCACAATTCTTCCTAAAGAAGTTACCTTTGATTCTACTCAAACCCGTGTGAAATTGGTCCCCAAGTCCTGTTAGGCTTAGTTTCTGGGTCTGCCTCTAGTCTTTCGTCTCCGAACCGTTCCCACAGCCACAGCCGGGCTCAGGTGATCAGACTGTCCTTGTGGATTATTGTAGAGACTGGCAGACGATTCTCCTACCTGCAAGCTTGCTTTCTACAGCAAATCTTCCACTTTGCCTCCCAGAGGGGTTTTCTAAAACACAAATTGATTGTCACTTCCCTACTTAACAGTAGTTCATTTCAAGTTTATGTCCTTGCCTAAAGGCAGAGTGCTTAGCCTCCACGCTGTCCTCATTGGTTCACCTTTGGTTCATGTAGCTTCTCTGCCTCTGTTCACCTCGTATATCACTCTTATGGCTCCTATACGCAGTCATATCAAAATTCTCAGTTCCCAAAGAGGTGGAGGGACAGTGGGTGCTTGGAAAGCCTTAGTCTTCCTCCTGGGGAATGGAATAGTTATCTCTGTGGTGTTTCTTAAAAGAAGAACATTTGCCTGCAGGTCATTTGGCTCAGTTTGAACCAGATGGCCTCTACCTGCCGAATCTTGTAGACCTTAATTTTGGAGCTTAATTTTGGACCGAAATTTCAACTGACTCTCTCAAAGGAGCCAGCAGAGCCAGCAGAGACTTTGGAACCAGACAGATCTGGATTTTAAATTTGTTTGCCTGGGCAGTCTTCTTCAGTTTTTTAACCTTTGTTTTTTCCTCATCTGTCATATTGGGAATATTAAAATCTAGCACTTATGGTTGGTTTGTGTCTAACATATGCTTCTGGCACACAATTGGAGCTCAAAAGTGTAATCCCCTTCACCCTCCACTGTGACCTAACTCAGTGATCATCTCCTCTGGGAAGCGTGCCTAATCTGTACTCAGATGCCCAGGTTTTCCTGAATCCCTTTGTAGTGGTTTTGGTATCTCAGCTCCTCTAAACTGAGTGGCAGGCTTTTCCTCAAGTGAATAGGACATCATCCTTTCATACAGGTGACTGAACAGAGTATCAGAAAAATATCAGACAATGTCCACATATAAATAAACTTAATTCATTGAAAACCTTCTCGGAGCTGGTGATGAAACAATATGGGTAGAGACAGATGTGAAGTAGGTAACCGATGTTATTGAACTGTTCACACACAGGCTTGTCTGTGAGGAACACAGACCCTGCCCCCTAGAAGCTCATGGCATCATCATAGAAGTATTTCGAGTAATAAACACACACACTGCTTGTAATCTTTGCTTCGTTTTCTTACGAATGTTGTCCACTTAACTCTGACATTTAATAAGGACAGTAGGTCCTTCATAAGCCCTACATCTAAACAACAAAAAAAGCCCTCAGAAGTGCAGTGTGCAAAGGACCAGCATGTATGGATTTACTCCATGTTTTATTTGCACCACAGTCTTCAAAGTTAATTCTTATTTTGCAGTGCTGTGGGTTAATGCACCCGACTGCAAACTCAGTTTGAACTGCAAGGTCAACAGTTCAAACTCACCAGCTGCACCTTGGAAACCCTACACAGAGTTGCTATGAGTCGGAACCTACTTGGCGGCACTTAACAAAAACAACTTATTTTAAAACATTCAAGATGTTTTAAAATAAGTGCTGTGCTTCAGCAGTTCGTGTGTGGATTTAGTGTGCTTAATGATTTAGAATCTTACTGGGCTGTCTTGTCCCTCTTCAACATTATATTAGACATAGAGCATTGTTGTTGCTGTTAAGAGCCATTGAGTTGGTTCTGACTCACGGTGATCCTGTAAAGGGTTTCTGACGAGCAACTGGTGGGTTTCAACTGCTGACCTTGCGGTTAGCAGTCCACTGCCCATCCTACAGCTCCATACCAGAACTCAGTGTAGAATTTAGTCAGAGTCTGTGGTGCTGTGGGATTAAGTGCTGGACTGTAGGTTGGTAGTTCAAACTCACCAGCCATTCCTTGGAACCATCTCAACGGCATTCAACAACAGTCTTACTCTAGGATGTTTCCCAGACAGCTCTTTTTTTCTTAAGCCATCACAGCTTTCTTGGCAGGTTTTTTGTTTGTTTGTTTGTTTAAATGTTCAGGTGTTCTCACCTCTGTGATAAAAAAACAAAACAAAACCAATGCATAGCAACTCAATGGATGGAATAGAACTGCGTGATGAGGTTTCCAAGGTGGAAGTCTTTATGGGAGCAGACTGACTCTTCATTCTCTTGTGGAGTGACTGAGACGTTTGAAATGGTGACCTATCAGTTAGCAGCTGAGCGCTTAACTACCATACTGCCAGGACACCTCTAGAAAAACAAAACATAACAAAATTGCTCCACCACCTCCACCCACCCCCCCCCACACACACCCCCCACACACAAATCCTCAACAAGTCACCCAGCCGACCAGAAAAGCTCCAGTTAGCTGAGCTTCACTTAATTCAAGGTGGCTAGTATTACTCTCCCCCTGGTTCCTGGGTCAGTCACTGGCCTCCAGACTGTCCTGGTTTGGAGAGCAGAACCCTTGGTCAGATAGGAGCTCAGATTTACACTCATCAGGATTTCAGTAGGTTAGGGGTTGTGATATTCCTGTGGTGAGCCCACCCCCTTGTTTCTGTATGTGGACTTGTGGTCACTTGCTTTGTTAGTCCTCACTCAGCATTTGTATTGAGTACCTAAGAAATGTGAGGGTAGAGTTCTGAGATCTGGCACCACAGGAATGCTGCCATACTGCTTACATTGCTAGGGGACTTTGTGGTGGTGGTGGTTTAGTGCTGTCTAGTCGGTTCCGACTCATAGTGACCCCCATAGAGGGTTTCCAAGAAGCAGTTGGGGGATTTGAACTGATTATCTTGTGATTTGCAGTCCAGTGCTGATCTTGCCGTGTCACACAAAATAAGCAAGAAAATAAAAGTGCTATAATAAAAATAAAGCCGGCGCTTGCAGGTGGTCAGGTGAAGGTCCCTTGGAGGGTAGGGAGAACACTTGGTATCCCTGAAAAATGGAGAAAGTGGGAGAAGTTGTCTGTGCATGGTTCTGAAACAAGAGCTGTGATACACAGTAGAAGATAAGGGACTGGCCTCATGTTGTGGAAAGAGCACAGACTACGCACGGGCTGTCTGGACTCTTGACCTGGCCCCTGTGTGAACTCCAAGACCTGGGGCCTCCAGACCTCTGGCTCCTCAGGTGTGAAGTGATGGCCTGTAAGATCCCCAGCTTCCCCCCAGTCCACCTTCCAAGTCTGCTTTCCTCTTCTTGGTCTGCACTGCCTCCCAGTGTTCAAGAGACTCAGGTCTCTGTCTCCCTTACCTATTTTGTCATCACGGGTCTCTGTCTGAGCGATCCTGAATATCTATCTGTGTCATCCTGAAATTGACTTGCACATGATGTGGTGGTTGTCCCAATTCCTGTGTAAATCATCGCTTGCCCTCCCCTACCCCCAATGCTCCCCAGAACATGTGTTCACATCCTGGGATGCTCAGAAGCAGTGCCTCTAGGAGATACAGGTGTTAGATTCTCCACTGATGTGTGCCAGGCCACAGTTTTACACCAGTACAGACTTCACCCCTGAAACAAGCTGAACAGGAGTCATTAGCCAGAATAAGGAAATGATTTTATTAGAGCCAATCCCAAAAATAGTGTGGTGTACAATTGCACACAACTGTTTTTTCAGCCCTCATTTATTTCTCTCTCTTTAAAAAGAGAAAGTTTGAGAGTGTCAGCTCATTCTCCAGTGTTCCTCTCTTCGTGAAGTGAGATCCGTATTATGCTGTGCCCGTGGTTCCAACATGCAGAAATTCATAGAGGGGATACAGTGAAAGTTCACACCATCTTTGTGCCTTTAAAGGAAATGTACTTCAAGTGCTCCCATGACTCCATCAGTCGGGATCACTGGGAAACAATGAAGTATAAGGAAAAGACTCTTCCCAGTGAAAAAAAAGCCCTCCAGCAATGTGTGCTTCTACTCCATAAAAACTAAAGGGGTCTCATTGGATGCTTTCATTTCTCAGGTGGGAAATGCCATTTCAACTGCCTCATGAAGTCCAACATAGAAATAGGCCCATAACATAGTTCTGTGTACACTCAGCTGTGTTTCTCTCCTTGTGACTTTCCATTTTTGTGTATTATAGGAGTATTTAATCTGACGAAGTGAAGTTTAAACAGAAGTTTATTCCGGTGAGGTGAAGTTACCAAACCAGTAACTCAACACTGCAGCACCTTTAGGACAGTTGGAAGTGGGGTCCAGAACAGCCATTCCTTTAGA